GTCCTGCTTAACTGAAAACTAACAGCAGGCCCTAAACTACAGTGTTATAAGTATTGTTCTGGCCTCACTGGGAAATATGCCACAATCAGAACATTTGTTCTTCTCAAAACATTCTATTTCATTCTCACTTTGTACTTGTACTTCAGTGATAGCTATCTAGATATATGAATCTTTGCTGATTTTGGTAGTTGGTGCTAGTTAGCTAATGTTAATAGTATGCTACCTTTCCCAGATCTTCTGGAGATAGGATGCCTTAACTCTAAAGAATGAATCTAATGACATGATAGGCTGGTACTGGAGTATGCTAATAAGACATCTATTTCAAGAAAAGACATATATATATATATATATATATATATATATATATATATATATATATATACACACACACACACACACACACACACACACACATACACATACTTACATACGGATATAATACTTATATATGCGTATATATGTATATGTGTATATATGAATATATGTGTGTGTATATATGTCTATATGTGTATGTGTGTGTGTGTGTGCATACACACACACACACACACACACACACACACATATTTTTTGGAATGCCTCAAATCATACCACTCAGGTGGATGAACACCCATTTCACCTGTGAATAAAACCAGTCCTGGTCAAGTCACTGTGATTCATCAGTGGCATTTGGGTCAAAAGTTCAAGTTAAGATTAATTATGAAGCAAATAAGGGTTTTCCTGGAGTTAGGGCTTTTGTAAGAATCCTATAGCAGTGGAAAATGGGGACTCAGAGATAATTTCTGGAGAGCATAAGAACATAAACAATTGGTGCGTGGAGAAGTAGAGGAGGGGTGCTTCCATCAGGGATACTACTCCCAAATGGCTTAGTATGGTTAAGATGCTGCCTGTGCTCTGCTGATCCTCAGATTTACTAGAAAGTATACTTTGGCTTTCAGAATGAAAACCTACATTGAATCTCAGATCATTTGGGAAAATGATCTGTATTTCTTGCAGTAAAACAAGCACTTCTTCTAAGAGGACTTCAATTTATTTGGTGTGATTTCCCGCTCTTGTACTAACATGACAGAAGTAGTGTGTGTGTGTGTGTGTGTGTGTGTGTGTGTGTGTGTGTGTGTGTGTGTATGTGTGTGTGTGTGTACATGCGCGCGCATGTGTATGTGTGTGTGCCTGTAAGGCATATTGCTGTTCAGAATGAGCTTAATTTGTATTTTATTTTCTGAAATCATTTTAATTTGATTGGTAGGAGGTCCTAATCTTTTTTTTTTAATATGAAGATACAAAATCAGGGGTCGTAAATTGCATTTTGAGCCCGGTTTATTTGAAAGCAAAATGTATTTTACCGTTAATGAGAGAGAGCTAGTGCTGAGCAGAAGGATAATGGAAATTAGAAAGAGAAAACATTTCAAGAAAAGGGAGTGGAGCATTTGGAAGTAAAATGTGAAAATCCATATTCAGATTTTCACTTTTAGAGAAATCTTTGACTGAAATTCTGTAAAACAGTTATGGCAATGTCCCAAATACTGTGTAATATCAATAATTCATACTTGTGCAGTGTTTTAATGTTTACAATGGGTTTTCCTCCCAGCAACCTTAAGAGGTAAATAGTGTAACGTATATTAGAAAGTATCCCACTATTTTTCTGTTAAAAAATATGATTTGTTACATGAGATGCTTCTCTGGACAGGGATAGGGAAAAGGATGCTGGAAGAAATTCTGATGATATTGTTTAAAAAAGAAAACAAGATGTTTTTAAAAGAAAATATCTCATCATCCTGACTTGATCATTATGCATGCCCCAAGTTGGTTGTTTGATTTTAATACATAATGTAAAAGGTCACACTATATAGTTGCTAGACAACTGTCCTCAGAGTCCTCAGACTTTAGCCCAAGTCCCATCCCTGATACATACCAGCTATGTGATCTTGGGCAAATCACTTAATCTCTAAGTACTCTAGACAGCTCTTTACAGCCATGAATTATAGAAGCAGTGCTAACAGAGTTAGCAAAAGGAGTTTCTTCACTGAGAGTTCCTTATAATTTTGAAATTACAGGTATAGTACAAAAAATACATAGCTTGTACATTCTTGATTATAGATATGTATGTGGTTATTCTGTGGATTTTCTTTGGTGAATTCCAATTCCCTTTTATTTCATAGGTGGAAGGATTTGCTGTGTGGAAAGTCCCTCCACTGGTGCAGATCAGTATTTCATCTGTAACTTAGAGAGGTCCTTGGGGCTGATTAAGTGACTTGCCCAGGTTCATACAGCCCTTAGGTGACAAAAGCAGCACTTGAGTTAAGGCTTCCTGACTGCAAGTCTGGTTTTCTTTCCACTCTATCTTTCTGTGTCTCTCATTCCAATATGAACCTGACTTAATTAGAGTTAGCTAAATTGAGCTTCCTAAAACATCAGGATGAGAAAACTGCTTTTTAAAAATGTTTAATACATAAAGCATTGCAAAGCCATCCTTTTTATTTCATTTTGTTTTATAAGAATCCGTATCAGAGCTTACAGTAATGAATGTAGAGCATCAAAAGCCCTAGTGGAGTGATTGTATCCCATGGAGATTTGGGCTAGGACTACCTAAAATAAATTAGTCGTGCTTTCATTTATCCTAAAGACCTAAATGCTTACTTGCTGTGCCTCTGTCTCAATAAACAACAGGCAAGCTGTTTCCTACGTTAGCTCCCTTGGGACATGACTAAGTCTCCTTCTCAAATCGGTTCCTAGCAAGATCGAGGTCACTTGTGAGATTCTTTTCTTTCTGCTAGTTTCGGTTTGATACAGCCTTATATCTGCTTTTAGTCCAACTCTCTGACTCCCTGCAAATGCCCCAAGACATGCATAATGATTGATGGGATATTAGTCAATCAATATTATTAAGCACTTGCTGTGCACCAGACACTGTGCTAAGTACTGGTGTTACAAAAAGAGACAAAAAACAGTCCCTGAGGTGTTAGATGTGGAGTGAAGGACCTGGGTTCTAACTCTGACTCTCCCACTACTGTTTGTGTGGCCTTAGACAAATCGCTTCACCCATATAGACTTTGCAAACTCCCCTTCACTCACAAACTGGTCTGTGAGCGTTACTTCTCATATGTCCTAGCCTTTACATTTACGCAAGTAACCCCTCACTTCTCTAATGCATTCTCTCCCTGTTCTTCACCTGTGTCGATTCCCCAGATTCCTTCCAAATAAAGCTGAAGCATCACCTGGCATACATGGTATTTACTGATCCCCCTTTACTTCCCCCAGGTGTTAATGTCTCTTCTTCTGGAAAAGAGTTTCTCTTTTGCTTTGCATTAGTTCTCCAGTTTTGCACATATTAAACCATGTTGTTCATCAAAATTAAAATGTAAGCTCCTTGGGGGAGGGGGCTAGAGCCTTTCATTTTATCCCTCGTACGCTCCATGCCTAGCACAACATGAGGCACATAGTAGATATATAAAGTATCACAAAGGTATGCTTTTTTTTTTTTTAAGAATCTTCATTAGAGCATATATAATGTTTATTCTTGAACGGAATTGAAGGGGTTGGACCAGACGATCTCAAAGTTCCCTTTCAATTTTAAATTGTGTTATTGTCTACTGATTCACAAACACAGCTCTGGCTAGATCCCTTTGTAGCTTTGCTTGTGTGGTTCCCTGTGCCCATAATGCTGCCTCTTTGCTCTCACTACCTAGTTTGGTTTTTTAAAGTCTCCCATCAAATGCTGCTGGTTGCAGCTTTCCATGACCTGCCAACTCTATGTGATGTGTCCCTTCTACAAATTCCTTTGACACCTTGTATCCATCTTAAACTTTTGCCATATTCTGCCTTACTAATATATGGTGATACAGATAATGCCTCATCTACCCTACCAAGATGACGGAGAGAGAGAGAGAATGAGCATTTGGCAAGGGACTGATATGTGCCCAGCAATGTGTAAAGTACATTACATACATTCTGTCATTTGATCTTGTTCATTATGGGACTGTGTATTGCATCTCTCTAAACATAGTGTTTTATGCATATGTGAACGTGAAAAAGATCTTTGATTTCCAGCAGATCTTAAGCAGTTTGTAACTTGGTATTTAAGTCATGGGGAGTAGACTGCATCACATAGGGTATAAGGGATTTTCCCAGAATCACATGGGCAATAAAGATGAAAGGTGGCATTTGAATCCAAGTCTTCCTGACTTCAAGTTTAGTTCTCTATCTATTCTGATACTCTGCTTTTATATGAGTAATTTATTCTTAATAATGTATTCTTAATAAATATTTATTGAATAAATTAATGAAAAAAATGATTCTAAAGTTTATGGGTAAACATCCTTCCCCTGTCTCTATCTCTGTTGAATGGGTTCAGAAGATGATGAGTTACAAAAGAGGAAAGAGGTGGTAAAAATGAAGGTGGGCTTGTCAAAAATAATTTACAGCTTCTGCACAATTTTGCCGAGAAGGGTCTGGTACATGATGTCACTCCAAAGAGCTTCCACTGGTTGATATGCTTCTAGTGGCTTCCATTAACTAGTAGGTTTATGATGGCTTTAACAAGGTAAGAACAGTATCAATACTCTTGATACAACCTGTATTATAGAAGGTCAGCTTGCTCTAACTAGCTTAGTCATACCATAGAACATACCATAGAACATACCATAGACATTCAAGGCAATTTATCTCCATCTTCCTCCCAGGATAATGACAGAGCAAGTATCTTCCTTTGTATAAAGACAAGAATAAATTTTAACCTCTGATATGCAAATGCATCTTCCAACAGTTTGTTAATTTCTGCTGTTTGCTCAAAATTGGGAAACACCAGACCTGTGATACATCATCTTTTGTACAGTTGGCACCTTCCATCATGAATCATATTAATCTGCTTAAACTAACAAGGATTAATTGCTTCAGTAAGGCAAACTGGCATTGAAATGATATATTGCCCAGGCAGCTTGGAAGTTGGCCATTCATAAATCTTGTTTGTTGGTTGGTTCATTTCTGTTTGTGTCTTGTTCTGACAGATGTGTGCCCAATCACTGTGAGCATGGTGGTAAATGCTCCCAAACCTGGGACAGCTTCAAGTGCACTTGTGATGGGACAGGATACAGCGGGGCCACCTGCCATAACTGTAAGTGCCAATTTATCTCACTTTACATTTGTAATTACATTAGTATCCCATGTTTTTTGTTTGTTTGTTTTTACCACTGCTAAAAAGCCTAGAAAACTAAGCCTGAATAATCCACGAACTGGAAAATTAGCTACTGAAAGAAGGATTTTGCTATAAGTCTTACATAAAGTAACACCTGAATTTTCAAAATACACTTGCAAAGCTGAATGATGGAGGAAGGGGGACAAAATAATGCCCACATTTAATGAATGCATTGTTTGTTTACACTGGTCTTGGCAGAAGTAGTTGATATTGAGAATAATTGGCAATATTGACCTTACTCAGAGTTTGGACACTGGTAGTAATGGTATGATGGGCATAATGTGAACAATTATAAACATCTATAGGTCTAAAAACTCATTGTTTGGTGCAGTATCCAAGGACATTGAAGGCACACAGTAAAGTTAAAGAATAGCAAAGAGAAAGTTACTTGTCCTAATAGAGGCCACATAATGAATTCTTGAGGTCTGTTGAGTTATCATGCCAAGCCCAGATCTGTTACTTACTATCTGTGTAAGTGATACTTTGGATATTGAATTGAAAGTGCAATAAATGTTTTGTCACAATGGTTCCCTTTCCTGAAATACAGAATAATACTAAATGTGCATCTTGATGAATACAACAGGCAGAATAGTAGAGTTATTTTGAGATGAATTGTAAAAATGAACAAATTTTACCTAGGAAGCCTGATAGTAGGCCAGAGGGAGCTTTAGTCATGGCCAAGAGAAAAGATCCTGACTGCTGAGTATTCATTTTGGTATCTTTCTGATGCTCACAAAAGCGGAATTATATTTTGCGGTAGTAGGAACTGATCTTTGTAAGCTTAATTCAGCACCTTCTGGTAATGTGGCATTAACTATAAAAGATACATATAGAGATGGCATATCAAAGAAAAAACCAATTAGGAAGGACTTGGGGTTTATTTTTTTTAAGTTATAGTTTTGTCTTGGATGTGGTTTTTAGGTGGGAATTAAAATTTCATTGGTGTACAGAAGTTTAAGGTGAGGAAATTTCTTTAACCAATTTAGAGTGACACATGCTCCGTAATATCTAGTCTTTGAGAGTTGTTAGCAAATTTAGAAATGAAGCATATGTTGCCTAGAATCACATGGCCAGTTTGTCAGAGGCTGAGTAGGAGCTCAAGTTGTCCTAACGTTGGGTCTAGCTCAGGAACTAAGTCTGACTGATAAGACTGTGATCAACCGACCTTCCCCTTATCCTCCTTGATGAGATTGTAGAATAAGAAGAAAGCAAGAAAAAATAAAGTATTGATTAAATTACAAAAATGTAGAGGGAAGATGACAAGACAGTGAAATATTAAAATCTTAAAGTATAGAGAAGTGTTTAGATCAGGGGTGGGGAACCTGCAGCCTCAAGGCCACATGTAGCCCTCTAGGTTTGACTGAATCTGACCTTCACAGAATAAATCCCCCTAATAAGAGGATTAGTTCTGTAAAATTTGGACTCAGTCAAAATTCCCTAGATTCCCTAGACCTAGAAGGCCATGTGTGGCCTTGAGGCTGCAGGTTCCCCAGCCTTCATGAGGGTCCTTCAATCAAACTTGATAGAATGATAGGACTATGAGTCATTGGCTGGCCAAAAGACCAGCTTCATCCTTAGTAATCTTTAAAAATCAGGATAGTCTCTAGGGAGTGAGTTGAGGCAGGAAATAGCTCTGCAAAGCAAGAGCCCTTGCAGTTGTGAAGAGATAGCTTTAGAAGTAGAACCCAGGGCTTAAGAGGAAAGCACGTTATGCCTTTTGGTTGGGACACAGGAGATTTCTTTGAAATACTCTTTCATTGGTGGTAGCGTCTTGAAGCCAAGCTACTCAGCCACAGAGTGAGGGCCCAGGGAACACCCAAGACAGTACACTGCATACGATGTTTAGAAAGAACAGATCTGGCAACTAGGAAACAAGATGCTGAGAGGAAAAGGCTCAGGGGATCCTGCTGAGCAAAATGCTCAGCAGAGCTGTTGTGTCTTAGGGGGTGTAGCATGAGGATTCCACAAAGAGAGAAAGGACATTGAGGCCCAACAGCATCACAGGCGGGATTTCCCTTAGGCATACATATCCCCTTTACATATATCTCTCTGGTAGTGCACCCTATATATGTGCCTACTCTTCCTACTGATGCTGCATGCATTTGTGGATAGCTGTTGTTCTTAAAGTGTCATCTTAGCAAATATCTTTTCTTTGAGTTAACTGTATCCACTGGATGGCTATTAAAGGTAAATACACTGATGAGATTTCATTAACTATAATTTTTGAGAGTGAGGGCCTACTAAGTACTTTGAACTTGGGATACTTGTCCTCCAGGGTACCTAACTTGTGCATCAGAGATGGAGGTAGCCTGGTCGGGAGGATACTGCATATGATATCCTAATGTCTGTAAAGATATTATTTCCAGGGAATAATTTAGGCATGAGGAGAAGCTAAACTAAAATGTTTTGTCCAAGTCCATAAAGTATGATGTTATAATTATCTGTAAATGGAAATATGTGCTATCTACACACCATAGCCACTAATATACCAGTGACTGGTTTCAGATAGGCAGACAGACAGGCAGGCAGACAGACAGACATAGATAGACAGATAGATAAGTAAAGATATGTTACCATATTAGTGATTAATTTTAACAGTTTGGCTGCTGGAATGATAAAGTGGAAAAAGTCATTTGAGTGGTAATTTAAAGATCTACTTTTTAGTCCTGAATCTGTCAATAACTTGCTTTTGTGACTTTGAACATATCAATTCACCTCTCTGACTCCCAACTTAATTACCTAGAAAATGAAATCATTCAAATGAGGTGTCTGAAATTCCTCCACATTTTAAAGTTCTTTGATCCTTTGAGTTAAAAATATACATTTAATGTACCCTGCTATGGTCTATATCTGCAGCCATCTACATATAATCACAGCAGGCAAGCCAGAAAAGAATGCTCCCTTTTAAAGTGGAGATGCAAGTATTACTTTATTGAGAAGTACTGACTGTACAGAGAAAGCAACAAACAAAGAACCAAGACAAAGGAAAGAGGACTCATAGCTACTGACATCCTTTGTCCGTGAAACAGCAAAGGACTCTATAAGACAATGAGAGGTGCTGTGTTTGTAAGTTTCTGGAAACTTGGAACATACTCTGCACCCTGATTCTTAAGTTTCAGGCAGCATCGTATAATAATAAGATCACTGATTAGGAATTAGAAGACCTTTATTCAAATGCTTCTCTGCTCTTTACTACCTGTGTGATCTTAGGCCAGTCACCTCACTAATTTTTGCCACAGTTTTCTCCTCTGAGAAGTTGAGTGAGGTCTTTAATTAGATGTCTCTTCCAACTCCAAAGCCTTACTGTGTGACGGTAGGTCTGACTATGCGACTCCCCTACTCAGTAGATGCCCTGTTACCTCCTGAATCAAATATAAAATCGTATTTAGCTTTTCAGAGACCATGACAACCTTTTCCCCTTCTTACCTTTCTACTCTTCTTACACATTGAACCCCTCCATGTATTGTTATCAGAGATACTGGCATTTGTGCTGTTCCTCAACATACAGCACTCCCATCTCCTCATGCCACATATTTTCACCAAATTAAATTATTTGTTGTTAAGAAAACTTTTAGTGCCTTGGGCCCAGTAAGGTAGCTTGTAAATTGAAGAAGCACTGGCCTGTTTAGTGGAGTATATTTCCTATGATTCTGGAAGGGGGAATAAGTCACACTACATGTGCAATACCATAAGGAAACCTGGCTTCCTGACAAAAGCAAGTTCTATTGTTGCTCTTTTTTTTTTTAAATATCACTGTTACTTCCCAATGAATCTCTTCACTCTCTCAACCTCATCGTAGCTCAAAAACAGAACCATCCCATATAACAAACTTAGTGATATGTAAGGTCCCTTCCAAAACTAATATAATAATAGTAATAATAATGATTTCTGCAATGTTGTACATTGTATCTTTCCTTTCAACCTCCCAACAATACCATTAGGCGAGTACTATACATATTACTCTCTCTGTTCTGCAGGAAAGAGTCTCAGAGCATTAAATGACTTGTTTATTATTACACAGTAAATGGTATCAAAATATGTATTTAAATCCAGGTCTTCATGATTGCAAAATCAGCATGCTTTGACTCTATTGCTCTACTTTTCTGAATTCTGCCTTCTTGTGGTCCCTTAACCCTATGTCAGCTTCTTTTGCCATGGTCCTTGTTTCATTTAATCCCCATGCAATGTACAAGTGTGATGCTCTGCCAGGAGCTAGAGAGGACTCAGAGATGGTGCAGGAGCAGAGCCTCCTTAACAGATAAATTCTGAACAGAAAAAAAAACCTAGTGAGGGAGTCCTGACTCGGCATTTTAAGTGGCCAATAGTTTTAAGGCTTGTGAGGGTCAAATGATATATTTGTAAAGTTCTTAGCACAGTGCCTGGCATAGAATAGTTGGTCTTTTGCTCCCATCCCATTGTTCTTTAGGTAAGCCAGGTGAGCATGAACATTCTATAGGACGGTTGGTTTGTCATTGATTGACTGTTTTTCTGAACCTCAAGTGAGAAGAGTTTCCTGGTAAATGATTGAATGACACCTGAAAGAAGATGAGGTGCTCAGGGCTCTTATGAAGACCAGCCACACTAGTAAGGGTTCAAAGGCTACAGGCATGGGGTACACAGTCGTGCTGAATCTTACTGGTCATATGCTTTAAAATCAGCAATAAAGTTTGAAGAAGTCATAAAACATCAGTGTTCACGTAGGAGGGAAAAAGACTTGTCCCTCTACTTTAATCAGTGGTACTTGTAATGTCCATAAGCCATAGCTATTTAGGTCACTGACATTACAGGCTGGTTTCTCATGGGTATTAGAATCCTTTATGAGACTTTCAGAAAGGATTTTAATGTCCACATGTTCACTTGTGGAACAGTGCTTAGTAATGAGAACTAGTGCACTTGATCATTTAGGCAGCCCCTTAAAT